AAGATGTAGTATCGAGGGGGTCTACTATCCCTATCCTTGGGACTTTGAGAAGTCATATGTTAACTGTTAACAATGATGTAGCAAAGTACCTAATAGATTAGCAACTTTTCACCTCAAATCTCCAAATGAGTCGTCCGCTGTTTGAGCGATAATGACGCCTTCCAGGGACTCAAGAAACCTATGAAAGTTGTCCCATAGTTGCGGAAACCTTGTGGCTAAGGTCATGGTCTCACACCTTAGGAACTCGATCTTGTGGTTCCTCCAAAGGATCTTAGAGAGAGCTGGATTTAGAGAAATAGTAATCTCGCTCCCTATAAAATGGGATCTCAGTCTACATATTTATAGAATCCCTCCAAAGAGAGGAGTTATACTATTAAAATATTAATTGAACTACTAGTCCTCTTTGGTATTATATATTTATTTCGTTAGAATATGTTAAACTACAGTGCATATCACATTGTGATATACAAGAATTATGGTATTAAAAAAACTACAGTTTCATATGTAAGCCAATTATGATATTATTAAACTGTATTGTTGTAGTCAATTGGAGTAGTATAACTATGGCATTGGTAATAATGTATGATAATGGATCGAGTTGACATTGGATTGATCCTAATTTTATCATATAATTGATCTCATTTTATCTATAATGGAACTTAGTTCCCTTCAAGTCAAAACCTCGATCCCCTTGACATGGTATCTTGCTCAGGTATCTTAGAATCTAGCTCCTTAACTTATAGAATATACATATATTAATCCTAATCCCAGGGAGCTTCCACCCTCTGGCGGTTCGGCATTCCTTGATCCTATCCTGCTCCCGTTTCCAACAACTGTGAACTTTCTTATAAGAAAAAGAAGCTTGTAAAATCTGTCCAGTGCACCATGTGTTACGTTTTCAGAATCAGAGATGACTTTTTTTCAATAGACTTGCTGACTCCCTAAACTAAACTGCCAAAGATTTTTACCCAGCAGGCCTTTGTCAACTATTGCAATGGTCTGTTTAGGTGTCTCTAGAGAAACATCCTTCCTCTAGATCACAGTCTGTTTGATGGATGCTATCCAGTCTTCCTGCAACCTTGACTGTGATCTAGAGGAAGGATGTTTCTTTGATGGGGTTGGAGCAGAGGATTGCTTTGAGGAGCACTGGTCTGTCAGGCATAGAAAGAAATTGGCCTTTCAATGGGGCAAGTCTCGTTGCAACTCTCTCCACAAGATGTTACTTCTTCTGCCCTTACTAGGAGTGCAAAGCTTAAATATCTTGATAACCCACCTAGCATCACATGGTGTGGATGCTACATCAGTTAAAAAAGAAATAGAGATGGTGGTTGCCATAAAGGCGTTTCTACTTGTTAGTCAACTTGGACTCACTTTAAGTAAGTCGGTCTTGGTAGGATGCCTTGCCCGAGCCAACCAACCCCGTAAACCCCTCCTCCCCCCCCCAAAAAAAAGAAAAGAAAAGGAAATATAAAAACCCCATAAAACTCAAGGGCATATAGAAATTGATTAAAAATATTTAACATGGATTCATCATTGATTTATGCGTTGACTAGATCAACTATAATTCAGTTATTATTAGTTTTCTATGTACATTTTATGGTTTAATGATTGTTAAATATATATTTTTTGAACATGTTATCTCTATTGATCTAAAGAAATTAAGTACAAAAGATAGGCAAGGAGGGGGCTGAAACCCACAGACGGGTGTCAACCAAAATATAGGTTACCCACAGACAGGTGCCCTAACAAAAAGCATAGCTGCAACAAAAAATGCTATACATATCTGATTTGTAAACCCAAAAAAGGCAGGTGCGAAGCTTGAGAGGAGGACATCAGGCCTGAAAACCAGGTCCTTGTGAAGTAGGAGAATTGGCTTGGCTTGAGAGATAGATGCAGCTGCTTTGGCTAGGGAGTCCATGTCACCATTTGCTTGTCTCTAAATATGTCTCCAACTGACGAGAGGGATCCTACTGAGATGGGTAATTTCCTCGAAAATAAATCACACAAGAGGAATCACCTTCAATGGTAAGAGAGTGGCCCCACAGAGGGTTGAAATTTCTGAGTCCTTCCCTTAGAGCTGAAGTTTCCGCGACTATAGAATATGAGAACCCAATTGGGATGGAGAACGAAAGTAGAATGTTGATGTCTTTGTTACTGAACACCTATACCAGCTGGACCAGGGTTTCCAAAAGAGCACCTGTCAAAATTGAATTTGATTTGGCCCTCTTCGGGCGGTTTCCATAAGAGGAGAGTGTGGAATGGAGGCCCAGTTATGGAGAAAATCAGAGTGGGAAAGGTTTTTGAACACCTTATGGGAGGCCAAGAAAATGACCGAGGATATCATCTTTTCTTTTAAAACTTCCGTGGAAGATCTCCGACTTCAGAAAATTCTGGCATTTCTTTCACCCTAGATGACCCAAAAAGTGGCTGCCGTCAGTGGCAGCCTCAGTAGTCTACCAGCTTTAGGCCAGGGAGGTGAGAAAGATGAGTGCAGGAGATGGGGAACATTTTGTGGGGTGATCCATTGCCATGGAACAGCTGAAAGAGTTCAGCCCATAGGGAGGAGGCCAAATTGCAAGGGATGAAGAGGTGAGCATTGCTTTCCTCTTCTTCAACACACATGATACATCTATTAGGGATTTGGAGCCCCTCCTTTGAAGCTGGTCTACTGTGAGAGCTCTCTCTGAGGTGATGATCCAATTGAAAAATTGAATCTTGGGGGGAATCAGAGGGATCTTTAGTAACCAAGGTTGAATTTGGGGGGATTGGAGCTTTGGCGGTGGGCTAAAGAGGAGTAAAAAGAAGCTACCGAGAAGCTCCCAGAGTGATTTGGGGTCCAAATGAGTCTATCCTGACCCTAGTGATTGTTAAATATTATTACCTTATATTTCATATTTTATCATTTTTCTGAGAAAATGATATTTAATTGATTATGTTACTTTTTGAAATTTTTTCTATTTTCTTGTATATTCTTTTTCCTTTGTCTATCGTTTTGTTAGATTTTGTGTTCTTTAGTTTTCATAATTTTTCCAATTTTTATTTTCTGCTCTTTCGTTGGCTCACCTGGGTAATTCAGTTATGGCTGTGGCTGGGTTTCATGTCCAAGCCAAGTTCGAAAACATTGGTGCAAGTTAATCCTATGGCTTGTCACAATGCCAAATTATGGAATATGAGGAGCATTTTAGCAGCTTGTTCCTCGCTGGCTCCACATAAGATCAATGTCACTCACATAGTGAATGTGGAACGGTATATTCACTTTAGGCTTTAAATGCCTCACATTAGCCATTGGAGGTGGTGTTGGGGAGCTTCTTTTGGTGTCTGTTTATGGTGGTGAAAATTGATAGGAGTTGGGGTTCTCCTTGGTTCAAACCTCTCAAGCTTTACTATGAGGTCATTGTGCATTGACCATGATAAAGGAGTCTCACAAACTGCATATGCATCCAGTCAATCCATTGGTGCTGCAAGCCCATTAGTCATCAAAGAAACTTCCAGACACACTCCCGACATGTTCATTGGGATTTCTCCATTTAATTTGATTCATTTGGCAAACAAATTTCCCTTGGATCTTGTAAAAGAGTGTATAGAACCGCAAAGCTGGGTAGTTAACCTTTTCCTCAAAAAAAAAAAAAAACAGCAAAGCTGGGTATTTACTATCCACTAGCAGCGGCATCTGAGAGAATGCTGCTTGGTTGGGCTGTTAGATAATAAAGAAGCTTTATGCTCTCTATAGCTTCATTGGGCTGTCTGGTGGTTGCTCTCTCCATCTATCGGGTCCAATCTCATTATTGGTCTAGCATCTTCTACTAAACTCACTTTCACAAATTGGGTTATGAAGTTTGTAAATAGACTGTTAGTGAGTTGCTGCAACTTTTAAGCACCCCTTCAAGGCAAGAGTCATATTTACTTGAGCACTTCAAAGAGATTGTCTTTTCTTTTAAAAGATAAAGGATAAACTCATAGGAATGGAATCTCTTACTTGAGGGAAGTCATATGTGCCTTATTCTTTGCAGTTTAAATCTGAGTTGTTTCAATGATAAATTATCGGCTCTTAAGTTGAAATTGTATGCTTGTAATTTTTTGTTAGATAGTCCTCTAAGGTTGTATGCGCCTTGACTCACATGCTCAAGTAGATATTTGGGAACATATCATTTGAAGTGACAAAGGCTCTTATAAAATCATGAAAGGGGACAAAAGATCCCAATGAACAATAGAGGGATTTACTTTGCAATTTTATTTCAATCAAGTACGCCTTTAAAGAATATCTCCCAAATGCTCAAATTGCTCTTGCTCAATTGGAAACCTCGAACAAGCATGGGTACTCCTGCAATTTGGTTGTGGCCTCTAAGGTGCATGAAATGATTGAAATGCCCTTTGTTTAGGCTTCCCAACCAAACCCTGTACATGGGTAATTTAGACATTTCTGAATATAAATTTTGAGGAGGTATTTGAGTGAAATGAAAATTAGACAGTAAACTCCCTTGTATTAATTGGGATTTGGGATGTCATTGGCCTGCCTAAAGATTTTGTAAGGATCCCCTAAATGATATTTTCCCTAGATATTTAATTATCGCATGTGTGTATAAGCGTGTGTGCTTGAGAGCCCCTATTTACATTCCTGTGATATTTTCATTTCTTTGTGCATTTGTATGCATAAAGTCACAAATGCATGGAGTCTTTTGCCCCATGGAATAATGGGTGACCTTGCTAGTCTATTTTTTTTTGTTCGCTTTTTATTGATTGTTAACTTGGTACCTTGGTGGGAGTGGAACTCTGGAATCATCCTGACTACCGAGGCCTAGAAGGCCATTCCCAACCCTTCTCATTTATGCCCAACTTAAGTTACAGATTTTATTTTTAATCAGTTTCTAGTAGGCTTAATGAACTTGGTGCATATGCATGAGGGATAGATAGTATGTGTTGTTTGTGCGGCAAGAGTTTTTGTGTGGTTTATTCTTCATTGTTTGCTTCTCAATATGATGGGAAATTCTTGGATGAAGCAGGAAAACAGAAGAGCAGAAGCCCAAGGAGCAGAAGCCCAAAGCAAATGAGAACAAGCCTGTTATGACCGAGTGAGATAAAATGGATGGTTGTGTGTGTGCTTGATTTGATTTTGAAATAGGGATATAATGAACATGCATGTAATTGTTCACATTTCTTCATAGAGTTACACAACTCTGTTTCAGAGTCCTATTTCTCGTTCGCTCAATATGATGTGATTTTGTTGCCAAAGTTGCCAAAACAAATGTTATTTACTTGCATTTAGACATAGGCATATGGAAAAAGTGCATATAAGGTGTGAACCCTATACCATTGATGTAAGGTGCCCCTCAAAAATCGTCTTGAAGAGTGTTCCGATGTTGGAAAACTATCTAATTAATCATTTATGGAAAAAAAATCGACCTTTAGAAATAGTGTATCTTGTAATAAGCTATAAGTTTGAAAGTTTTCTAGTGTATGTTCAATCTATTCTATTTTTAGCATTTTAAATTTCATAGCTAAGCTCTCAAATTTGTTTTTTTTAAATTTCATAGCTAGGGTTGAAAATAGATTTTCAACCCATCATAAGGTAATCCACATTGCAACCTCACAAAATTTAAATGTCTATTACTCCTACTGCATAAAGATAGAAGGGAAAATTACTAAGAAATTCTCCCAAAATGGTCTTTTTAGACCTTCTACCCTCCATCTTAACATTTCTTTACTCTTCTTTTTAAAAGATCAGCTTTTCTTATTAAAACACCCCAACCCAAGAAAAGAGGAGTTAAATTTTACTTTTATTTTGACCTCCCTAATCCCTTCCATTAACCTATTTACTCAGTTTTCTTCGCAAACTCTGGTTTTTACCTATTCCTCTATTTTTCTCATGCGGATGATTTCTTTTTCAGGGTTCACGACCTCTTCTTCATGCTCACCACATTTTTTTTCATTACCACGGTCTTCATCATGCTCACCGCGCTTTTTCCTCACGGTTTTTGTACAATAGAGGGTACTCTAGAGAGAGAAAGAAGCAGGTTTCACACAATAAAAGTATTCTAGAGATAGATTTCACACAACACAGATCTTTTCTATAGAGAGATTTTGCACAACAAAGAGCTTTTCTAGAAAGAGAGAAGGTTGTCTGTGGTATTTTAGAGAGATGCAATACAGATTTTTTTTAGAAAGAGAAAGAAGGTTGTTCGGTGAAAGAAAATCAGTATTTATAGCAAACAAAGAATGAAGGAATGAACCAAGAGCATTTTTGGGGGATCCAGCATTTTTTGAACGCACTCCGGAGATCACAGTTCGGCATTTATGAAACGTGCTTCGGCAAAATTAAAACTCACTCCAGCATTTTTTGAAATCACTCCGGAGATTAGTTCACTGTAAAAAATCAGCTCGGCACTTGTAAAAAGCACTCTGGCAAAATTAAAAATGACTTTGACGTTTCTTGAATCCACTCCGGAATCTTAAAAACGTGCATCGACAAAACTAAGAAGCACTCCGGCATTTTTGAATGCACTCCGGAGAATGTTCACTATTAAATAAGCACTCCGGTATTTGTAAAATGCACTCCAGCAACATTAGAAAGCACTCTAGTATTTGCTGAAAGCACTTTGGAGATTAGTTCATTTGTAAAAAAGCAGTCTGGCATCTGTAAAAAGCACTATGGCAAAACTAAAAGGCACTTTGGCTTTTCTTGAATTCACTCTGGAGATTAATTCACTGTTAATAGCCAGTTCGGAATAAAAAAAATGCGCATCGGGAAAACTAAGAAGCACTCCGACGATATGTTTTCTGGATACACAGGCACTTCAGTCCGACGTTTTAGATATTCGATTTGGCTTATTGTTTTCTCATAAGCACTCCGGTGAATAATAACTGCGGTCCGGTGTTAATGGAAATTGGGTCCGTCTGCAGGATTTGATTGCACGTTAAAGGTACGGTAAGGGGTATTTTTGGCAAAAAAAATAAGTCTTTTTCAGTTGCGGGGGAAAGGGTTTTAGTAAAAAAAGTTGGTTTTTTAAAAAACTGAGTTAAAAAATATTAGGGTGGGGTAGAAGATCTAAAAACCTCATTTTAGAGGATTTTTAGTAATTTTCCCAAGATGGAACCTTATACACACCTCACCCTAAGTGCATTGACTCTCACAAATGTGCGTCTTGTTACAGAGAAAGTTTATGAGAAGTGGGGCTTCATATGAGGCAATGGGATGGAGCACTTGCAGGCTCTTCAAAGTGATTAAGGCTCTGATGGGTTTAGAGCCACTAAATTTGCTAAATTTATAATGCAGCAACAAGGTTCTAACAAATGTTGGGGCGGCTTATAGGCGGCCGGGGTGGCCTAGGACGGCTGCCTAGAGGTGTGAGATATGCACATATACAGCTCAAACATACATATATGTTTATATATGTATAGAGAAAAAATCCTGTCAGCCAACGATCTAGATTCAATCTGGGTTTAATCCAATGGGCACGATTTTATTTCGTATTTCAATCTTCATTTTTTTTTTTATACAAGTCCAAATTATTTGAAATTTTGAGTGTCTATTATTAAAAAATAGGAAAATCTAATAAAAATATAAAAAAATAATATGCAAAATATAAGTTGATCAAAATACCTCTGAAATATTTTGTAGGTATTTTGATCAATTTATATTTTACAATTTTTTTTTAAATATTTTTATTAAGTGTGTCTGAGAAAAATGAATGCATAAAATTTCAAGTGATTTGAATTTGCATTAAAAAAATAAAAATTCAAATACGAAATAAGGTTGTGACCGTTAGATTGGTCTAGATTTAATCTGAACCGTTGGTTGACACTGTGGTTATCAGCGAGTGGGTTGACAAAATTCATTCCGATATGTATTTATGCCTATATATGTGTTAAATATGTATAGTTATGTATTTATATGAACACTTAGTAATTTCTTTAAAATTTTGCTTATTTGAATGTTGAAAGACGTTCAAATCATTGTAAATTTTGCGTATTTGAATAACTAAGGGCAAGCTTTCTATGCTTCCCCTACAACATAAAATTTATATATTTCTCCTTATCCAACCCTCCATTCTGAATGGAGGGCTAAGATTGCCCCAATCACAATGTCATGTTTCTACACTATTTTATTTTTAATTTTTTTCTATAAACTATTTTGAGATCAAATCTTGGACATCCAATCCTCTATTAAACTTGCACTAGTGAAAAATATAAAAAGAAATATTTCCAATAAAATAAAATGATCAAAATACCCCTGAAAGTTTTAAGGGGTATTTTGGTCATTATATTTTATCGAAATATTATTTTTAATATTTTTTATAGGTGCGCACCAGTGAGAAGATGCACATACCAAATTTCATATTCATACAATTTGTATAAAAAAAACTAAAAATAAAATATTTTGAGATGTCAGATCTAAGATCAAATGGTGAGTGATTCTCTTGATCAAAATTGGAGAGCTGGATGGTAGGAAGAGGATAGTTCTTCTCTACTGTAAAGAAAGTACATAAACTTTTCCCAATAACTAAAACAGTCGGAAAAAAAAAAACACACAACTGAATGTTGCATTAGTAATTTATTGTTCATAGGTCATACACTGTCGTCCATATTTCATTTGGTCATATTTATAGATTCCAAGTCTCCAAGAATACCAAATGACCAATACAAAATGTTGTACAACATATGCTATACAAAATCAGAATAAAGGAAATCTTCAGTTAAGGATGTTTTATATTCAATGGTTTGGTTGTCAACTAGTTCAAAATCACTCCGAAAGTCTTCTAAGAATCTCATTTAGACCCTAAAATTGATTAAATGGTAAGGTTTCAGATCAAAATTTTCTAGTTTCAAAAAAAATTGCAAAGTCCATCAATTTTGGATGATATAGGGTATATGAAAAGTTATTTTCACTTTGCGGTGTTAGAATATACATTTTTGACTATGACCTTCGAAAAAGGGAGATCATCTTAGTTAATGTCTGCCGATTGTGTATGAGGGATAATGAAAGAGTTGATAGTATATTTTTGCATTGTCCATTTACACAAGAACTGTGGGACTGGTGTAGATGATTGATCCACTTGTACATCACCATGCCCCATTGTATGAAAGTGGTGATACAACAATGGATGTACCCTGGTATGTCAAAGATAGGGATAGTATTATGGAGATCGCTGTGGGTTAGTATCATGTGGAATATTTGGAGAGAAAGAAATATGAGGACATTTGAAGGTGTACACATTGATACCAACCTCCTCAAGTCGAATAGTTTGTGGAATATTTGGAGAGAGAAAAATGAGGGCATTTGAAGAAGGTGTACACATTGATACCAACTTCCTCAAGTGGAATATTTCAGCAATGGCAGCTAAATGGTTCTTTATAAATAAAGGTTGGAAATTCATCCCCAAAATCGCAGCTTATCGAGAATCCATATGAAGTTGCCAAACTGTATACTCGCAACCAAAGCAGACCAATACTTTGGTCCCCTTCGTCTGAAAACTGCTTGAAATTAAACTTTGATGACCGTTCATACGAGAAACCAAGTCTTGCAGGCTTTAGTGGTATCAATATGGACCTCAGGGGTAACTATATCTATATTTATTTTGGTTTTTATGGTGCAACAACAGTGAACAAGGCGGAAACTAAGGGATTGTTGGAGGGACTGAAACTACTTATTGGGCTTATGGAATAAGATTGTGGAGGTAGATTCTAGCGGTTGCATGGAGCTAGGTTGAAGGGCACAACATGTGCCCTTTCCCAACTCATCAAAGATTCAATTTTTACGTTTTTTGAATCTCTCTCGGAAGCCCATAACAATACTAAACTTAGGCCGGGCAATGGGCTAGGTAGCCTGGCTAGGCATCGTAAAACTAGGGCCTGGGATTGTGGCCCAAGGATAAGGCGAGGCAAGGTGGGGCGGGGCAGGGCGGGGCGGGGCGGGGTGGGGCTCAAGCCATAACAAGACCAACCTGGCCCTTTGCTTCATTTTCTTTTTTATCTCTTCTCTTCAAGTGTATTAGGCCTGACCCGAGTTAGGGCTGAGCTGGGTGAAGGCCTCTTGGCCTGGTGAGGGCCTTGCTAGCCCTTAATGATTAGGGCCAGGCTAGAGCTAGGGCTGCCCTGGCCAGGTCTGGCTGACTCATTGCTAACCCTCACTTAAATGTCATAGAAATTTGTTTCTCATGTACCATAGGATTCAATGGATATAGTGCATGTTTTAGGATTGGGCCATTCCAAGTAGGGCTGGCAATGGGCCGGGC